CCTGCGCGTCATCTGCTGCCCGACTAAGATGTTCAAAAAGTCGAGTTGTCTCAACATCGCCGGTGTGGGATCTGTAGAGGCACACGTAGACTCTGGCCCAGGGGCCAGAGTGGACGTGTACCCCCAGCATGGAGAAGGAGGGATCTTCCAAGCAGCGGAGACGGCGACAACAAACATCCGCCCGAACATACAGGCATACACCGGCTTTCGCTTTGAAGGACTCTTCAAGCACGTAGCCGGGATAATTAAGGTAGCCTGTGTCAGCAGGCGGAAGTATTTGTGTCTCCGTCAGGAACAACAATGCTGGCCGTGCTGTCTCGAGATGGTGGTGGACAGCGTTGAGGTTAGAGTAGAGTCCGCGTATGTTGCAGAACTCGACCTCAAACAGCGTTGAAGGCGTGGGGGTGTGCACCGCTGTACGTCCAAACTTTGTTATTGAGGCTGCCATGGTGGAAGTGAAAAAAAAAGAGACGCGAAAACGAGCGGACGCCGTCGCGAAGAGTCCGGGCAAACAAGGGGGGTTTGTCTTCCCGATTGACTGCCTGCAGTGGAGATGCGCCGACCCGCCGGACGGAAGGGCCCCCGCACCCCCCCGGGAGTGGCCGCCGGGACCCCACGCCCCGGTCACCAACCGGCACGACGGTCCACCCCGAGATTATGCGTGACATGATGGGGCAGCCTCGCGAACTGGTTAGGAACGCTCGGGCCCCTGTACTGTGCCACGGGCGGCCAGCGGGACAGCCGTTTCTACGGGTCTCCCTGGCCGGCGGGTCGATGCAGTCCTCCCGGCATCGGTTCCACGGATGCCTCCCCTGGACCGAATCCTTCGCGACAACTTCCACTCGAGCTCTGGTTGTACGCTGGCTGACCCCGAAACGCGCGAGAAGCACTTCACGGGTTTTTCACCATGCGCACGGTGGTAACAAACCAGGCGGGTGTTAGGCACCCTACCACCAGAAGAGCGGATGGAAGCTCCGACATCCCTTAGTCGCTTCTTACGACACCCACGGGAAGAAAAGGGGCGGTGAGTTGTATTCTTTCTCCGTCACCGCACGGATAAAAATAAATAAAATATAACAAGATTTATTGTTATTACAACACACACTACAACTTACACTTAATCTACTTTTATTCTTCCAATCATAATAATTCTATCTAATATTTGAGCAGGAGGTGATAAATTGTCTAGATGACGGGCAGAGCCAAGGTACCATATTATGCTCATAGCATGTGAGCAACAATCAATTGTCCTCAGGACAATGCAGTTACAACAGTAACCTATGATGGCACGTATACCAACTTGTGTCCTATCTAAAGCAATAAACGTATAGATAGGACGTCAACTCGATGGTATATTCACTGTAGTGCACAGATACAAAGGAGCAATAAAATGCAACGGTCACCACAGAACATTCACGAGTCAACGGAAAGAAGTAACGAACAGGAGACGACGCAAACGCACAAACAGTTCCTCTTCTTTTTGAGAAATGGCGGTGCACTTTTGTGGATTACGCCAGGCTCCAGTGATTCGGCTTGGTTGTTCAGTTAGATTTGACTGCTTCGTTTTTTTATTTTTAAGTATGTTGTGAAAGCACAATATGTGTATGAAGGATGTACATTTATCAAGACTTGAAACAAAAACAACTTTAAGATGCGTTTACATTGGCAAATGTCATTTTTGACATGACAGTTGTAAGGTTTTTTTTATATTCGACAAAGGATTTCACACCTTTACTGCCAAAATCTATGTTGTGAATTATCGAGCACTTATAAAATGATTGGGGCACAGACTTATGACATGGTTTAAGACAAGTAGGATCGATTTAATAAGAATATATACTGGTTCAAGTAAATTTAGGGGTTCATGATTTCTCAGTGTGCGTCTTTTCGTGTTGAAAGAGAGTAGTGTGTAGTCGCCTAATTGAATGTAGTAAATTGCGTTTTGATATTTCTGATTATTAAAAACGTTTCGTTATCAAATAAGATGATTTCATTTTTCTCCTATGTCCTAAAATAAAAGTATTAGGTTCATTATGTGTTAAAAGGTCCTACTTATATAATATGAAATAATCAATATCCTACGCATTCTACTAAATGGGTACCATTTTTGCCAATCTTTTTTCGGTTTCACCACTAAGATTTAAAATGCGAACAAGAATTGAGAATAAAACTTACAGAAGCGGAAAGAAAAATAAAGCATATTCAACTAGCTTCAGACAATTAAAAAATAACTTTTTAAGACATTTTCAACTGTGTATTCAAGTTGGCGGAAGGAGTTTTGAATATTTACTGTAATAAATAGTAATTTTTCAGTAATTTGTGGTATTTATTTGTATCAAAAAACAGGTAATTTTCCAACTAGCTATTTTCATCTTTATTCTCGCTCACATTTTAAATCTTAGTGGTGAAACCGATATTATTATAAAATTCAACATGTTAAAGTTATTTTACAGAAATATCAATCAAATTTAATTTGAAATTACATTTTTAAGTTTAATTTACCATAAAAATGAAAAAAAAAGTAGATAAAATAATGTCTAATGCTTTAATCGTGTTTCAATGATTTTTAGCCTATCCGCCTTCAAAAGCCAATTACAACAAAAATAGGCTGATTAAGTACATTTTTTTTATGATTTTTGGTAGTTTAGAAGCATGCGGAGTTTTTAATTTTAGTCAAAAGCTATACAAAAATAAAAAAAGGAGTTTCCATAACTCCTTTTTGTATTTTTGTATTGAAGTTGATCGTTTGATTAAATCCTACTAAATACTAAAGTTCCAACTTTCAAGCCTTTTTTGAGTAACTTTATGTAAATGCAGGAAGTTGAGTTATTTTTTTATTAAAACCAACATTCAAGAAAATTATGTCACAAAAAAATGACTGCAAAATACCTACAACGAAAAAAGATAAGAATTTTTGAAACCTCACTGGCAGAAATCATTAAAAATACACAAAAAAATATAACTCGAAAACTAAGAAAAATCGCGGAACATACATGGGGTATTTTCGGATACTCCCAGGTGCGAGGAATCTAAAAAAAATTGTTGACGTCACTAGTTGGACCACCCTGTATACATGCCAAAAATTGGTACTTAATTCTTAATACTGTTAAAAAGCCTTTTAGCGTGTTAAGGAACTTCCGAAAAGGGTGGTCACTTGATGGGGAGATAATAGGATCGAAAAAAATTTGTTTATGCTATATGTGAAGATTTGCAATAGTTAATTTTTAGCTTGTTCAGTCTACCAGTCTTGATTTCAAACAGAATTTTTTACGATCCGGGCGTGTACGCAGGCAGGTACCTGTGACAACTTGAATTTATTCGTTTTTCCGTACTTTAGATATTTAGATCAAAAGAATTTTTAATTAGAGCTTCTTCTTGCTTTAGAATCGGTTTAGTAGTCGCTTGCACATAATATAATCTCATTGAACTGGAAAGGGCGCAAATACTGATTCTAAAGGTGTGCCAAGACTTTTCCCATCTTCTAGCTTTTACAATACAGCTGAAGTCCTTACGGTAAGACAACTTTAAATACTCCTTACAATACTACAGTAACACACTTATTTCTATCATACTTTCCTTTTAAATATACTAAATAAATTCTTAAGCATTTATTCCAATAGAAAAAAACAAATATAAAGTAACACAATGGCTTATAAAACTAAAATATAATGGCACAGAAAATCTCCTATAGTTAAAATATGTTTCCATTGTCACACGCACGTGCCCACACACACACAGACCAAATACACACAAACACACCAACACACACACACACTAACCACATCACACCTCACCAAACCACACCTTATTTTCATTATCTATTTCTATACTCATTGGTTGAATTTAGAGAGACGTTGGTTTTATAGTTATTTTTATTTAAAATATTTCATGATTAAACTCCTCGACATTATTTAAAATAAGCACAGACAGGAAACTGCCTCTGCTTTAGGATTTTAGGTTCCAGTCTCCCATAATATCTGTTTATGGTGTTTAATTATTTAGCTGTATTCCTGTTATGTTCAAAAATGGTGGAGGAGAAAATAAATGGTTTTTATTATTATTATTACCTATTTTTTTTTATAGATAGGTCCGACAAACGACTACACCCCACCTGATGTTAAGTGATGGTGAAATCCAGACGTGAAGATAGCTGGTACAGCAGTTCTACCTGCCAGACCAGCCATACTCACCTTGCTGGTCTGCATGTTACTAATAGCAATAATAATAATTAATAATCCACGTGGCGTCCTCATTTTTGTCATACACTTAATTTTGAGTACCAACGAAAATACTTTCTTACTTATACCAAACAAAGAACTTAAATGTTCTTTGAACTTCAACTACGGAAAATAAGATTGTCTTATTGTTTTAAACTTTCATGGTCACTAACCTTTTAGTAATTTTGGTTATTAGCGGGATTGCTACCAAGATACAAGGTAAAAAACAAGGTACATAAATGGAAGCAATCCCGATATGTAGTAATAAAAATTACTGTAATAAGATTGTCTGTTCTTGTCTGTTAAGAAAAACAACGTATACAGGATACATAAAAATGTATGACAACACTATAAATGTTTTCTGAGTTAGTGACATTTATAAGTTAATGAATAAACGAATATCACCTGATGATTTTAGTTGCTTTCAACGTTTACATTTTCAGTTAAAAACTCAATAAATTATAGACTTTAATATGTCGATTCATCTAATGGACCAGCAACAGAGTAATATTAGATTCCGGCGAAAACTTGAAGCGAAAGTAAACTTTAATTAGTTCGGAAATTAATTATTCTTACGCGTTAGTTGTTGAAAACTTAATACACCATCCATCACATTAATCTAGGAGAAAATTGAAAATCCACGGGGCATATTTAATTCAGTAGATTTTATACTCTGTAAGGCATTATTATTACTTGCCTACTCAGGGAAGCCGTTACATTCGCAGATAACTCAACTCAAAAAAAAATACAAGAATGCTTTGTTGATGGGGAAACGGTAGTCCTTACCTTTGCATACTTATATTATACTCTCTTCCACCACCCTTATTAGGGCGGGTATCTGTCGCTATAGCGGCCCGGTGACCTGTAACAAATTGAAAACCTTGAAAAAAAGAATATGATTTAATAGAAAAAAAGCAAACGTGAATGTCGGAGAATACTCGGTTGGAACGAAGTTAAAATAAACATAGGTATTAACACAACTACACTCAATACGTTACGAAACAGTTGACGGTTGTGGCGGATTTTTTACACTTTTTCCCCTAGCGCCTAGACGGTAGGGGATCCACCAAGTCTGTACTGTCCGAAAAGGAGCTTCGTTTCAGAAGATCACTTTTTAGGGTTCCGTACCTCAAAAGGAGGATCACTTTGTTGTCCGTCCGTCCGTTCGTCTGTCAAGACTGTTTTTCTCAGGAACGCGTAGAGGTATCAAACTGAAATTCATATCTAATACTTAGTCGTCTACTGCTCTTTGGAGCTGTGAAAAAAATCAAACTTCTAAGCCAAAGCAATCAAAAGATACAGTCGTTTATGCCGCAAATTCCCGCAAATTTTCGAAACTCGCACGGGAATCAAAACCTGTAGGGTACTTCCCGTGAACTTAGAATCTTGAAATTTTGGTACGAAGTAATGTCTTATAGTACAGATAAAGGAAAAATTGCGAAAACCGTTTTTAGTTTCATAATATAATTAAAAATATTTTTGAAAATTTTAATGTTCCTCTTTTTTCATGAACGCGTAGAGGTATTAAATTGAGTTTGTACGGAACCCTCGGTGCGCGAGTCCGACTCGCACTTGGCCGGTTTTTTATTTGAAATTCAGCACGTTATTTCACTGCACATATTGATTGATGCGAAAGGAGCCAAGTTGCGAGGATAGATAATGTGTTAGTGCACACCTTATCGGTTTGTACCCTTCTCTCTGAATGCTTATTTACTGACCCCCCTTGTTAATAAATCAAGAGATAAAACACTGCGTGACTAGTTTATTAATTAATAAGTAGGTGAAGAAACCCAAAACTACATTATTAGTGTTATTCAGCTAAGGTATTTTATGAAGTGGAGGTCACTATAAATTCGAGTTTACAAGATACTATACAGTGATACTGTACACATAATTATCGACTTATGTTAAATTATTTAAGTTTGGCCAATCACGAGGCAAGAAGTTTTAATTGAATAAATTGTGACCTTAATTACTTTGTGTTCTGAACGAAATTGATAATTGAAATACCAAATTAGAAAATATATATACCTACGTAATTATATTTTTACTTTGTATTAAAGTTTAAAGTACCGCCTCTCCAAAGAGGAACTAAGTTATAGGTTTTGTCGAAACTGTTTTTAATTTTGTTTGTAATAAATGGATTATTATTATTAAACATAGGCAATTGGTAACCTGGCTTCAGAAATGTAATACATTTCCTTAAATAAGAATGCGAGAGATACCTACTGATTTGTTACTCTAATATCCGTTTTCACCAACTAATCCCTAACGGATTTATAAGAAGTTGTCACTTACGTTAAGTAACTCCTAAATCGAGAATTTAATTAAATTCGTTTTCACCATACTAAGTGTTATAATTATCTAATAAGGTGGCTCCTAACTAAGAGACAGCTTTGTTTTTTTTTATGTTGTTACCATTGTCGATGTTTCATCGACAAAATAGATATTTGTTTCTTAGGTTTTCACGCACATCACTCATTAAATAAAACTAGTTTTTACGGGTTAATGCACGAAACTTTATTTATTTATTGACGTCAATAAATAAATAAAGTTTTTAGTCTGCATCGTCAGAATAATAATAATAATTATTATTCTGACGATGCAGACCTGAAAAGGCTGCGAAACGTCAATAAATAAATAAAGTTTCGTGCATTAACCCGTAAAAACTAGTTTTATTTGACAAAATAGATATTCATCTGTATCTTTAAAATTAAACGCTTAGAAATGAAATAAAGATGAAAAATATTATGATATTATTGTTACATATTTAAGGCTCGAAGTATATATACAGGATGATCCAACTAGTGACGTCAACATTTTTTTTTTAGATTCCTCGTACCTGGAAGTATCCGAAAATACCCCATGTATGTTCCGCGATTTTTCTTAGTTTTCGAGTTATATTTTTTTTGTGTATTTTTAATGATTTCTGCCAGCGAGGTTTCAAAAATTCTTATCTTGTTTTGTAGTAGGTATTTTGCAGTCTTTTTTTTGTGACATAATTGTCTTAAATGTTGTTGTAATACAAAAATAACTTAACTTATAAAAGTTATTCAAAAAAGGCTTGAAAGTTGGATCTTGAGTTTTTAGTAGGATTTACTCAAACGTTCAACTTCAATACAAAAATACAAAAAGGAGTTTCCATAGCTTCTCGCTAAAATTAAAAACTCCACATGCTTCTAAACTACCAAAAATAAACTACTTAATTAGCCTATTTTTGTTGTAAACACGATTATAGCATTAGACATTATTTTATCAACTTTTTTTCATTGTTATGGTAAATTAAACCTAAAAATGTACTTTCAAATTAAATTCAATTGAAATTTCTGTAAAATAACTTTAACATGTTGAATTTTATAATAATTTCGCTTTCACCACTAAGATTTAAAATGTGAGCAAGAATATAGATCAAAATAGCTAGTTGGGAAATAACCCGTTTTTTGATACAAATAAAAACCACAAATTACAGAAAAATTACTATTTATTACATTAAATTTTCAAAACTCCTTCCGCCAACTTGATTACACAATTGACAATGTCTTAAAAAGTTATTTTTTAATTGTCTGAAGCTACTTGAATATTCTTGCTTTATTTTTCTTTCCGCTTCTGTAAGTTTTTGTCTGAATTCTTGTTTGCATTTTAAATCTTAGTGGTGAAACCGAAATTATTGTAAAATACATATGCAAAAGTTACTTTACAGGAATTTCAATAAGATTTAATTTGGAATTACATTTTTAAGTTAAATTTACCATAACAGTGATAAAAGTAGATAAAATATTTTTTAATGCTTTAATCCTGTTTCAATGATTTTTAGCCTATCCGCCTTCAAAAGTCAATTACAACAAAAATAGGCTGATTAAGTACATTTTTTTTTATGATTTTTGGTAGTTTAGAAGCATGCGGAGTTTTTAATTTTAGCGAGAACCAATGGAAACTCCTTTTTGTACTTCTAAATTGAAGTTGAATGTTTGAGTTAATCCTACTAAAAGCTAAAGTTCCAACTTTCAAGCCTTTTTTGAGTAACTTTAAGTAATTGCAGGAAGCTGAGTTATTTTTTTATTAAAACAACATTCAAGACAATTATGTCACAAAAAAAAAACTGCAAAATACCTACTACGAAAAAAGATAAGAATTTTTGAAACCTCGCTGGCAGAAATCATTAAAAATACACAAAAAAAATATAACTCGAAAACTAAGAAAAATCGCGGAACATACATGGCGTATTTTCGGATACCCCCAGGTGCGAGGAATCTAAAAAAAAATTGTTGACGTCACTAGTTGGACCAGCCTGTATATAAAATATACTAAATTATGATTTTATGTAGCTTTAGTAGTCTGTGCACGATTTTACGTTTGGTCCGTTTTTTAATGTTAATGTCAAAAGTGTCAAAAGTTTCGCACAATTTTATATCTTGCGCGGCCAGGGACTTATTAAGGATAAATAAAATTACTGTGTTATTGTGTTAAGTTGTTGGTTGTGTGATTTGATAAATTAAAATTTTTTTTTTTAATTACTCGCATATAATAGATAAATAATTACACTATCTTTCATGATTATGAAACCAATATTGTATTTGTTGCTAGGGTAGGTAGATACTTACCTGTTATCTTTATACACTAGGAGGTGCTCTATTTTATTTAATAAATACCTAGTTAGGTCATAAATTCTGTCACATGTTTATTATAAATTAATTGAAACAAGTTTATTCATTATGTAACCATTTATACCAAAATGAACTTAACAAAACATAGATTCTTATCCCGATATTTTTTTCCCTCTTACCGTTTCAACAAAGCGCGGCATCTTCAGTTTCAGGTCCATTAGACGAGCATTCAAACGATGTCCTGTTTTTCTTCGATATGCCCGAGCCCTAAGTCTTCATTTAACACCCTTTTCACCGTGGTTCTGCTTAACCCCATCTGAAGGGCCAACAGTTTCTGCTTACATTTGGGATTTCTTTGAATTCGCGCCTTCACAGCTATTATCACTGCTGGAGTCCTAACAGACCGAGGGCGACAACTTCTTGACCTGTCATCTACACTAGAGTCTTCATTGTATCGTTTGATGGTACGATAAACGAATCTTTTGGCTATATTGAAAATTTAATTGACGTTGCGTAACCGCAACGATGCAATGCAAAAACTGCAACACGGTCTTCTTTAAGCGTTTACTCCATATTTAAAAATGAGTAAAATTCTAAAAAGTTTACATTTCTATTTTCATGAACAATTCGAAATTCGAATTCAATAAACTTTTTTGTGGCCAGCATTCTAAAAGAAAAGTTTTTACTGTGTGACAATACTTATGACCTGACTGTGTATAAAACACTTTCTTTAGATAACCTATATCGAGCGAAGAAATCGATGTCGTCATATTTTCAAAGTCCTTTGATCTTTCACCGTTAATTCGTGGTGTCTTTTTGGCAATCTTTTACTTGAAATCGTTTCCACAGCGTCGAACGCATCTAGACTCTCAAAGAACTGATCTAAATAACTGTTCATTGAAGAAAAATACACGTACTTTTAATAATAAATTATCACAGGAATGTGTTAACAAACGTTAGGTAGCCGATAGGGAGCGCAAAATTGCAGCCTTAAATATTAAGAGTTCCTTAAGCTTTAAGGTGATACTTAAGGGTTGGTGAAAACGAATTTGTTTAAAAGAGTTTCCTAAATACCGCTTAAGAGTGCCCTAAACCCAAGAGAATATTGGTGAAAACGGGCATAAGTCTCATAAAGCGTCACGGAGACATGTGTGTATATTTCTATGTAATGTCAAGATTTCATGACAATTTCTTCAGAAATTTATCATTCAGTATATAAACCTATAACATGCATGATATATACGAGTAACATCGCAGA